GACCAAATAGCCGAAAAACTAAACGATACACAAACTAACTTGCTTAATTTTGTCCAATTTTAATATATGTGCTATTTACTAGGTGAAAGCAGTCCATTGACAAAAGTTAGTTATAAATAAGATTAAACCACAATCAAAGACAAAGAACACATGTTAAGGTTAGCACAATAATCACAAAAGACTGTTAAGATGGACTAGAATTCTACATAAGTTAAGACTCATGGGAATAAATAAAAATAAAAAGCTACAATTCTATTTTATATGAGTTTAAACGGATTAGAGGACTAAGAAAAGTAGAGGATTGCCTAAACTAGCTTGACACGAAAAGAAATAAAAAAGGTTGGACGTTAAAAAAAACTCATAAACTGGACAGCTTGTGGCATTTCAGTCATAACTTTTGATCTGTGACTCTGATTGGGACGAAACCAATGCCAAATGAAAGATAAAACTCTGGGCTACATATCCATAGGTAGCATGACACGTAATTTTTTCTAGAACTCTGGTTATGACTAAAAAACTTTCACACTTGTGCAGGATACGGGAATTAAAAATCCGGGTTGACTTAAAATAAATAAAAAAGAACTATGACTCGACTTAATAAAAAGAAGAGGGTTAAATAAGAGAAACAAGTCCTTGGTTAGTATGTTTAGACATATTTACAAGAAAAAAGTCAACACAAAGGGTTAGTTTAATCACAAACAAGCTATGCACAAGTAAGATATGCACAAGTAGCCAAGTAGTCACAATATGATGCAATGAGTTTGCAACCTAACCATGGCTCTAGTTCTCTAAGATAAAGGATTATGGAATCCACTAAGGGTCCATGGTTATTAGTCCGGATGCATCGCGTGGAAGCCTTAACTTTGGAAGGGTTGGCACGATAGACGGGACCCCGCAAGTCAGACTTACTACCATGGTTTGGTGAATTCACAAACTCGGATGCACCCATCGTTGCACGGAGCGTTTGTTAGGGTGGATGGAGTGTGAATTCCCAGGGGCTAAGACCATATGTAGAACACATACGGGTTTAGAAAAGTTGGAAAAACTCAATCAGGAAGTGGAATCGTCTAGACAGTACTAGAAATGGTCAAAACAAGAAGACAGACTCCTGGCGCAATGTTGCGAGAACTTGGCGCGAGAAGACAGAGGTTGTTGCGCAGCGATAAAGTTGTCGCATGGGCGACAAACACTGTCATCTCGCGACAGTTCCAACGCGTCGCGGCAGTTTTCTATGTTCTACGATTTTTTCTAATTTTCGTAGTATCTTTTCGATTCGAGTTGTGAAAGATAATTCAAACTATTCCTACGTGTAAAAATCCTATGTTTTTGTTGCATTACGGATGGTCATTCAAATGCGGACCTTTTTATGCTTATGCCACAATGTTAATTAAAATTACGCATACGAATATCTAGAATCTTTCAAGTCTCATCTATTCATTTTAAAGTCAATTGCCAAAATAAATTTTAGGAATCAAAATTAGAAATCCTCCCAAGTGGAGCCGCCAAAAACTATAGGGAATTTTTCAAACTCAACTTTGATCCCCACTGTGATCATGCTTTTAGGCATGGTGGCGTCCAAAGGGAAGGAAGCTAGAGATAAAAGAGATGCCTAATTGTTTTAGGAACTTGTAAACCATTCACGGGTGTGAAGGTTATACCCCATTCACGATCACGGAGATCTCTAACTTCATGATGGTACGAATCCAACCTAAAAGAGATTGAACCCGCCCTAAATCGGCCTCTACTTAATTCTTATGATATTCATGTGCCCTTTCCGATCAACATAAATACAATAAATTAATCCAGAGCATGTTTAATCTATGTTAGTTGGTTATTACTGCACAAAAAAATCTATTATTGGTGATCACTTGAATAAAAAACATATTAAGCTTAAATCAAATTATTAATTATCTTATTAGGCATGATTTTAAGTACAAATTCCTTTTAAACCTGCAGAAAGGGCGTGATCAAGCAAAGCAATAAATCATGAATAATCAAGCAATATATAATTCACATAACAATCATCATCATAATCTGATGTACACGTTTTATACATTGATTTATCCCGAATTTACATCATATTCTTGCTCGGTTTTAGGCTCTTTAGATCCGTTTCTCGCTAAGAATCTCTTCTCTAGTGTGTTCGATGTGTTTTTGTAAGTTTTACAGGAATTTGGAGTCTCTTGGATGATTCGGATACGTTTCTATTGTATATGGAGATGTTAGTGAAGTAATGATGGAGAGCCAAGCTAAGAACGAGCTATAAAGCATTTAACCCTGCTGTGCCCGGTTGGGCCATGCTTGCCCGATTGCACCGGGCATAGAATGGTTGCTGTGAGCTGCTAATTACGAAGAATTAAAGCAAGCTAAGCCATTTATCCCACGCGCCCGATCGGGTTATGTGTGCCCGGTTGGACCGAGCGCGTGGTGGTTGAAGCAGCTGCGAAGATACGAAGCAATGCAGGCAGCATTTGAAGAGTGTGCCTCGCGCCCGATCGGGCAGCCATTGCCTGGTTTGACCGGGCTCCAAGGAGAAGGTCACGACGGAAGCAGTGTAGCATTGAAGTTCCACCTGCCCGATCGGGTGGTTCTCGCCTGGTTAGATCGAGCATAGTTATGCGGAAATCGACTTTGTTATTTTCGGATTTTTATTTCATTAAGGGAATAAATACCACTTGTAATCATCATTAGAAAACAATTAGTTAATTCCTTAAGCTTTATTTCTCTCTCTAGAACCCTAGTTACTTTCTTTCAAGCATTTTAATTATTTCATTAGATTCGATTATTGTTCATCAACAATTTGAGTTATTTCAATTGAAGCATCATTGGTATTCATCTATTTCTCTTCTCTTTCAATTATTATTGTTTTTAATTATGTTTTCTCCATTGATTATTGTTTTAGGGTTTCCTAATATGTGTGAGTAGTTTTTATATTCCAAGATCTAGGGTAGCCCAATTGTGATTGATGCATGAATTAATTCTTTAAATTCTCTAGTGACAAATGCAATTATTTATGCTAATTTGATTGTGATTATGCCAATACTAGATTAGAGATAATTAGTATTGTTATTATTCCGTAGTTTTAATCACAACGAGAGTTGGGTTTTAACGGATTTGAGTAAATCAATTTAGGGTTTGAGATTCATCACGAGAGTAGTTGAATTGATAATTGGGAAGCGAAGTAAAGTGTTTAATGTATCTAATTTGCATGATTTCATGAGAATAGGCTTGATTGTGGTTAGAGAAGCCATTGATATTCGAGAGAGGTCCTTGGTATTGATTAGGATTTGCTTTTTCCCCATATTAATTGGATTTGTATGCTAGGGGTAGATAGATAATTGCATCGATCGTGATTGTGGTGATACTTGATCTTGGATGTTTTAGTATATTAATTCATTACATTCTTTAGATTAGTTTAGTTCTTCATACATTAGTTTCTAGTACCATTCACCATTGATTTGATACTTGCTTAGTGATTATTTGAGTCTAATTAATTCGGTGAACCTTAGTCTCTTGTGATTCGATCCTTACTTTCCCGTCTACATAGTAGTGGTCTCGTTAGGTTTTTTTTTGTTAGGTACGCGACATGCCTATCAAATTTTGGCATCGTTGCCGGGGACTAACGGTTTCATTTGATTAATTGTGATTCGTTTTTTCTAAGCTTTATTCGTTGCTTCGGCTATTGTTTCTACTGTTTTCGATACTCTGCTTTTAATTCTTTTTTGCATGCAAACACGAGGTTCAGGGTTAGACGATTTAGCACCTTTTGATTCTGAAATCAAAGCAACTATAAGGAGACGACGAGGTAGAAGAAGAAGGAGAAATCAGAACAACAACTATATGGAAGACGACACAAAATCTCTTTTGGAGTACAGTATTCTCGATACGATAACCGGACTCCTCTCAAGCAATGTCAGACCACCTGCCACTGCCCAACACTTTGAACTGAAACCACAGTTCATTGAATTCGTCTCTAATGATTCATTTGCAGGCACACCACATGATTGCCCTGTTAGTCATATAGATAGCTTTCTGGAAAAATTTGATACTATGAAAATGAATGGTGTTACAGATGATGCTATTAGACAGGAATGGATAGGGAGAAAGAATGGTTAAGAGATGAAGACACTGGCTCGTTTAATACATGGGATAAGCTGGTGAAAGCTTTCCTGGTAAAGTTTTTGGGACAGGAGAAGACTGCAAGGTTAAGGAACGAACTATCCACTTTCAGGCAGACAGATGATGAGTCCCTTTATGAGGCATGGAGGAGATTTAAGTGATTGCAGAGGCAATGCCCCCACCATGGTATTCCTGAATGGATGCTGATCCAAAACTTCTATAATGGTTTAACCCATAAGTTCTGAATCTACATTGATGCTGCATCGGGGGTTTCTCTCTTGACAAAGAACCAAACTGAGGCAAAAGAGCTGATTGAGAAGATGGCAGCCAATGATAATTATCATCCAGGAGGCAGACATAATGTTAAAAAGGGAGGTAAATTAGATGTTGATGCTCTAACTCTTTTTACTAGTTCTGTGCAGGCATTGACAAGTAAGTTTGATAGACTCCAAGCTAGAACATCTGCTAGCTTACCTGAGACTTGTCAAATGTGTAATGTGCAAGGTCACATTGCACCTAATTGCCCACAAAATTCAAATGACATGTCGATTAAAGAAGCCAATGCATTCTACACTTCCAACCCCAAAAGGTCATATGACCCCCACTCTAACACATATATTGAAGGTTGGAAGAATCACCCAAATTTTTCCTACAAGAATACCCAAGCCCAACAAAATCCACCTCCACCACCACCTCGAAACAACAACTACAATGCACCACCTGGTTTCCAACCAAGGCCACCTCTAGTCCAACAACCTATTCAACCACCTCCTCAAAAGTCCAACCTTGAACTAATGCTGGCAAATTTTATCACCACAACCAATAATTCCATCCAACAACAAAACAGTTCCATACAACAGTTATAAGCCCAGAGTAAGCTCATGGAAAATCAGATAAGTCAACTTGCTCACCAAGTTGGCCAATCCTTAAAGACACCGGGCACTTTTCCAGGCCAGACAGAGCAACCACAAAAAGGGCATATGAATGTTGTTACTTTGAGGAGTGGGAAGCAATTGGAAAATCCTCCTACCAAGGAGCCATTAAGGGAGGTTGTTGAAGAAGTAGGTGAAAGTGAGAAGGTGATTGATAGTGCTATGATCGAGGAAGAACCAAAAGAAGCAACTTCACCATCTGTCGTTCCATATGTGCCAAAGGTTCCTTTTCCACAAAGGTTAGCTCAAGCTAAACTAGAAAAGAAGTACGATAAATTTCTAGATATCTTGAAAAAGCTTCATATTAATATTTCATTCTTAGATGCTATATCCGAGATGCCTTCTTATGCTAAATTTTTAAAGGATATGCTTTCTAACAAGAAAAAGCTAGAAAATAATGCTACAGTTGCTTTGATGGCAGAGTGTAGTGCTATTTTGCAGAATACTCTCCCTAAGAAATTAGAAGATCCAGTTAGCTATTCAATTCCAGTGAAGCTTGGAGATATTGAAATTAACAGGGCACTATGTGATCTTGGTGCAAGTGTGAGTCTTATGCCACTCTCTATCTGTAAGAATCTGCAAATGGATGAATTTAAACCCACACGCATATCCTTGCAACTTGCAGATAGGTCAGTCAAATTTCCTTTGGGTGTACTTGAGGATGTACCTCTTCGTGTAGGTAAATTCTTTATTCCTTGTGATTTTGTTGTAATGGAAATGGAGGAGGATGCACATGTTCCTATTATTCTTAGTAGGCCATTCTTAGCTATTGCAGGTGCAATCATTGATATGAAGAATGGTAAGATCACCTTTGAGGTTGGCGATGAGAAAATGGAATACTCACTTTTAAATGCTATGGGTACTCCCTCTATGGGAGAAACTGTTTGTCAGGTAGATGTGCTTGATGATTTGCAGAATGAGCAACTTTCTTTGAGCAAAACAGATGATGCACTTGAAACAGTGCTAATAGAGAAGGATGATGATGGAGATTGGGAATCAAGGGAGTATGTCAGGCTACTTGAAGAAGCAAAGGCCAACCCAGTCACTAATCCAATCAGAGAAGTGCTTAGTGCAATTGCAATGTGTGTTGGGGAGAGTACTACGCCTCCCGAAGTAGAGTTGAAACCTCTCCCTTATAATCTGAAATATGCATATCTTGGTCCTAATAATTCATACCCTGTTATTGTTAATGCTGAACTCAAGGACACAGAATTGGAGCAGTTGCTCAATGTTTTAAGAACGTATAAAAGTGTAATTGGGTACACCATTGATGATATTAAGGGTATTAATCCTTCTTTTTGTATGCATAAAATTATTCTTGAGAACGATCATGCTTCCTCTATAGAACCTCAAAGAAGGCTTAATCCAAATATGATGTAGGTAGTGAAAAAAGAGGTTCTCAAATTGCTTGTTGTAGGAATAATCTACCCTATCTCAGATAGTAAGTGGGTTAGCCCTGTACAAGTGATACCCATGAAAGGAGGTATGACCGTTGTCAAGAATGACAAGGGTGAGCCAGTCGCCACTAGGACTGTTACAGGGTGGCGAATGTGTATTGACTACATAAAATTAAATAAGGCCACCCGGAAGGATCATTTTCCCCTACCCTTCATTGATCAAATGCTTGAAAGGTTGGCAAAGCATTCCTTTTTCTGTTATTTGGATGAAAATCCTGGTTTCTTTCAAATTCCTATTCGTCCTTGTGACCAGGAAAAGACTACATTCACATGTCCATATGGCACCTTTGCATATCGCAGGATACCATTTGGATTATGTAATGCTGCAGCCACTTTTCAACGCTGTATGATGGCAATTTTTTCAGGTCTCATAGAAAATTCTATGGAAGTATTTATGGATGATTTTTCTGTCTATGGAACATCTTTTGATGTATGTCTTGAAATTTTGAAAAAGGTGCTCCATATATGTAAGGAAGTCAATTTAATTTTAAATTGGGAAAAATGCCATTTTATGGTGCAACAGGGAATTGTCTTAGGTCATGTTGTATCAAATAAGGGTATTGAGGTTGATAAGGCTAAAATAGAGGTCATAGAGTGTTTACGCCCTCCAAATTCTGTAAAAGTAGTTCGAAGTTTCCTTGGTCATGCAGGTTTTTACCGTCGCTTTATTAAGGATTTTTCAAAAATAGCTCGACCTCTAACTGAACTTTTAGCTAAGGATGTTCCTTTTGAATTCACTGATGCTTGTCTTGAAGCTTTCAACAGGTTGAAGGAAGCTTTGATCTCTGCTCCTGTCATGCAACCCCCAGATTGGAGCTTGCATTTTGAAATCATGTGTGATGCTAGTGACTATGCGGTAGGAGCTGTTTTGGGGCAAAGAAAGGATAAAAAGCTTCATGCTATTTATTATGCTAGAAAAACTCTTAGCTATGCTCAAATGAATTATGCCACAACTGAAAAAGAGATGCTAGCTGTAATTTATGCAATTGACAAGTTTCATTCTTATTTGGTTGGCTCAAAAGTTATTATTCATACAAATCATGCAGTATTGAGATATTTGATGAGCAAAACCCATGCAAAGCCTAGGTTGATTCGGTGGATTCTTCAATTACAGGATTATGACATAGAGATTAAGGATACAAAAAGGACAAATAATGTTGTCACAGATCATCTCTCCCGTCTTATCCTCGACCCTGAGGATGGGGACGATATCCCTTTTGATGATTCTTTCCCTGCCGAACATCTATTAGCTTTGTTATAAACTGAATCACCTTGGTATGCTGACTTGACTAATTTCCTTTCCACAAGTACAATGCCTCATGGCTACTCTTCTCAACAAAGAAAGAAATTCCTTTATGAGGCAAGGAGATATTTCTGGGATGATCCGTTCTTGTAAAAGAAATGCGCAAACACTATGATTCGAAGATGCATTCCAGAAAACGAGGTAAATCACATTATTTCTCATTGCCATGACTTACCATGTGGTGGACATACAGGCCCTTCGAAGACAACTGCAAAGATCTTGCAATGTGGATTCTATTGGCCAACAATGTTCAAGGATACATACACCTATGTCAAGGCATGTGACCGATGTTAACGGACGGGCAATATTTCTAAGAAGAATGAGATGCCACTCAACAACATAATCAAGGTCGAGTTGTTTGATGTGCGGGGGATAGATTTCATGGGCCCGTTTCCTTCTTCCTATGGCAACCATTACATCTTTCTAGCCGTTGACTACTTATAAAAGTTGGTGGAAGCTATAGCTACTCCAACTAACGATGCTCCAGTGGTAAGTAAATTCTTCAAGAAAACTTTTTTTCCATGATTTGGTATCCCACGTGTGTTGATTAGTGACAGGGGAACACATTTCTTGGAGCATCGGTTTGAGGCAATGCTAAAGAAGTATTGATTAGGGGGATTTTCCCTTACTCACCTCTCGCTATGTGGACCAATCGGGGCTTGACAAGTGTCACCCAGTTGGGCTTATCAGGACCTGCCACGTGGCACGCTTCCGCTGGTCCACCATGGACCTCCTATGTCATGCCATGTGGCCCTCTCAGCCTTGCCTAAGCAGGTAATAGATTGGGCCCAAATCCCAAGAAAGCCCAGTCAGTCCTAAGGGTGGCCAAAACCCTAGGACCTGGCACACTTCCCTAAGCTATAAATACGATCATAAATTCTCATTTATGACAGAGACTGTTCACAAGAAACACTCGGATTGCACAAATCCCAAGACAATCACACACCACTCGGTACCACCTACTAGACCCGTCCTAGCATCCGACACCTATTTACATTCTGCTTTACAACTCCTTCATCTACTAACTTGATCGTTAGAGGCGGAGCTCCCTACCCAAGGAGTCTCCGTTATCTTGCAGGTACTGGCGCATGGTTCCAGTCTCGAAGTTGTAACTCTCCCAAGGGACACAGAAAACCCCGGAACATTTTGGCGCCGTCTGTGGGGAGAGTACCTTTGAGATGGCATAACAATCTGTACCGACTAATAGTGACAAGCGTCCAGAGGACGACTACCAAGAAGACGAGCCTCACGTTTCTTCTGATCAGGACACTGAGCCTGAAGTTGAGACTTGCACGGCCCCAGACGGGTCCTTGAGAGCTCGACGTACTACCCCTCGTGAAAGACAGGAACAACAAGACCAGGCTGGTCCAGGCCAAACAGTCGGACCTTCGGTCGACTCTCACCAAGCGTTCGACTTGGCAGCTCCTGTCTCGAGGAATGATCTTATGACCATCATGAGAAGTTTTAAGGGTGAGATTAAAGATCTCATCAACAAAAAGACGACTGTCCCCCAAAAAGGGTAGTCAAGCAAAAAGCCTTCCTATTCAGGAAAGAAGAAGTCATTGAAGGACCGTGAGGCAACCCCCCACCCTCGCCAAGAGGAGAGGCGGGTACCTCTAGTCAATTTGTCCAAGCACCGTATCCCTTGTAGGGTTTCGTAGTGACTCGACACTACGCGGAAGGAAACCCACCAAGACCCGCCCCTTAATTAAAGCAATTAAACAAGCATAATAAACTTAATCAAACAAGATTAAGGACAAGAATTATACCTTTGACGCGTGCTTCGCTCCCAAAGAGCTCTTACTTCAAAATCCCGAAAAGACGAGATCTCCGACGGATCGTACCCTCGACCCAACCCGAGCGTCCTAAGTCTTGAAGGTTAGTCAAGACCCGGACAAAATAACTATGAGTTTTACGAATCAAAGGTTTACTCTTTCTTAGAGTTGCCTTTTTAATTCCACTCAAGGTTTTTACAAATCCCAATACCAAGCTTGGTATTTATAGGGAAATGTTCCCTTGATTTTTTCATCCTCCACCAATGTGGGAGAATGTATTTTGCTAATTAATTTATTTCTAATTTAAATTATTAAACAAAACTAATAACAATGCAACAAATTTTAAATAGAGAGAGAAGGTTAGGTGAGGACCATGAACCTTGGGGGGGGGACCATTGCCTTGATCCCCAAGGCATGCTCTAAGCCAATTGGTCCCCACTCCCTCAAACCGCCACATACAATGGGCATGCTGGGCTGCTGCCAGCTAGCACGCCAGCTAGCATGGCGCTGGCTAGCCCAACTAGCTAGCATGGTGCTGCCCAGCAGCCTCGCATGCCTGGTGCCAGGCCATGCTAGGCGCTGGTGCTGGCCAGTGCTAGGCGCTGCTGCTGCTGGCAGCCTAGCACTGCCTATCGCACCACGCACACTCTCTCTCGCATCGCATCACTGGCACTGGCCTCGCATGCTACGCACTGGCTGGTCGCACATGCATCACGCACCAGCCATGCGCCACGCACCTACGCACACACATTGCTAGCCCACACGCATCATGCACACACTCGCACTGGCAAGTGCCTAGCATTGCTTGTGCTTAGGTGCGAGGCATGCACACACGCACACGCACATGCATGCGTGGTGTTGCTGCCTAGCACCCAGCCAGCCACTGCACGCACACGCACCAGCCCACACGCATCAGTGCAGCTGCTGTGCGAGGCTGCGAGTGCGAGGCCTAGCATCAAGCATACGCACACGGCGCGCCACTGCTAGGCAGCCAACCATGCCAGCACTTGGTGCTTGCGATGGTGCTTCCAAGCCAGGCACACACGCACGCAACACCTAGTGCTTGCCATAGTGCGCCTAGTGCGGCCATTGCCTGCGATAGGCGCCATATGCACCCAGGCACCACGCTAGCATGCTTGCTAGCTGCTATGGGCTGCCTGGTGCCTGTGTGGCTTGCGATAGCTGCCATGCGCACCTAGGCACCCATACTAGCATGTTGCTAGCTTACGATGGGCTGCCAGGGCGCGCCTAGGCTGCGATGGTGCCTAGCACACCATGGTGCGCCTAGCACACACATGGTGCACCTAGGCATGCTAAGAGCTAGCCTAGCCTAGCTACGGCTACGCTCATACTTGTTGCTTGTGATTTTGCGACGCTCGGTAGCGACGCCCTAGGCTTGATTTCCGACGTTTGTATTCGTAAAACTCTGTCGACTCATTAAATCCTCTCGATTAATTCGACGTCTCGGATCGGAGATTCGATTGGGTTCGACCCGAAGGGTTCAGTTAAGATTAAGCTGTAATATCAATTGTACCTTGATATTACTGATCGGAAGCGGCCTCTACCTAGGCATTCCGATCACTTGACCTTACTGAAGAATTAGCTCTGTAATAATTCTGAACCCTCTATCGGAATAATACACTTGTTGGAAGGACACCATTCCTTTCAATCTCCCACTTGTCCTTCTGGACAAGTGTGCATATTGGGTATCGCTCATTTCCTTTGTCACTTAATGTTTCTTCGTGAACTCTAAGGTAAGATTCTTTGTCATCCTTATTACGTTCAAAAGTGTTTCTCGATCTACGAGTTCGACTGTCATTAAGCAGATGATTTCTAAAATCCATC